CCTATGCCCAGCAATAATAGATTTCTTGAATTTGATAGCTGTATCATTATTGGGAGAGAGAATGCTCTTAGACACTATATGCTGATATATTTAGCAATGAAGAGCTATAACACCTACAACCTACTCTGAGTTGTAAGGAATGAAAAAGGGGAGGAGGAAGAGTAGAATTAGAGAAAAATAATCCAAATGTGTCTTAAAATTACTGAATTCATGAAGAATATATGATGTGCATTGTACTACCTTTCCAGTTTCCTATAAATCTGAAATTCTTTTTAAAAAATTGAAAATGAGCCGGGCGTGGTGGCTCACACCTGTAATCCCAGCACTCAGGAGGCTGAGACAGGAGGATCGTTGTGAGTTTGAGACTAGCCTGGGCTACAAAGTGAGCTCAAGGCCAGCCTGAACTGTACAGCGAGACCCTGTCTCAAAAAGACAAAAAAAAAAAGTTGAAAATGAACTTTAAAAATCCATACATTTCAGATACACCCTTTGAGGCAGCACTTCTGCTGGTAGTAATCTACCTACATTCTTGCCTAACTCCATAAAGCAATATACACGTGTGAATCCATGACCACATTTCTTATAATCCTGAGCACGGGCAACAGCAGCCTGAATAAAAGATGAATCGTGGTGCATGTACACAGGGGAATACTCTGTAGTTATTATAAGGATTGAGATCATCTATAAAAACCAGTACAGAAAAAAACCACGCTTTTAAATGAAAAAAAAAAAATGAGTTAACAGAAGAGTAAGTCTAATCTAATTCTAGTATATTTTGTCCTAGTGGCCACCAAATACTGTATTAGATTCAGTTTTTGTTATTTTCTAAATTCTTTATACTGATGTCAAAATTAAAGCATGTACATAATAAATAAATACTAAAATATTTACAATGTAAAGCAGGATCTGTAGGCGTTAAGAACTTTTTATTTTGGGGGGAATCTTTTTTTTTTGTCTTTGAAACAAGGTCTCGGGATTGGGGATTTAGCTCAGCGGCATAAGCGCCTGCCTTGCAAGCAGGCAGTCGTGAGTTCGATCCCTGGTACCGATAAAAAACGAAAAGACAAAAAAAAAAAAAAGAAACAAGGTCTCGGGGCTGGGGATTTAGCTCAGTGGCATAAGCACCTGCCTTGCAAGCAGGCGGTCTTGAGTTCGATCCCCAGTACCAATAAAAAAAAAAAAAAAGAGAGAGAGAGAGAGACAGGGTCTCACTACATAGTTCAGCCTGGCCTTGACTCACTATGTAGCACAAGTTGGGATGGACCTCTCAGAGACCCTCCTGCTGTGGCCTCTCGTCTGCTAGAATTACAGATGTGTGTCAGCACACCTGGCAGGCCTTTAGTTATCTACAGTTAGTGAATGTAACACCCTCATGAGCCCAAAAGAGACTTTTTAGAAGTTTATAATTATCTTAGAGGATGATCATGTCTGTGTTCCTGTAATGTGCTAGAGCGTGCAAAGTGCTTTGCTGTTTGTGTTCTCAGATGATCACAATATCGGGTGGCAGATAAAAAAGTGGTTATATGCTCTTATTTCTGCAGCCCAGTTACCGAGGATCCAATCTTGGTTTCCTGATATACTAACCATGTGACCGTGAACAACCCTGACCTCTGTCTCAGTTTCTGTATCAGATAATAGTGCCTGCTCAGATGTACTTACCATAGTACCTAATAGATTTTTAGAAAATACCAAAGAAATTTTTAGTACTTTATGTTTACCAGCTTTCAATGAATAATAATTGGACAAGCCAATCATGTGATTTACTCCCATTTTATAGATGAAGAAACTGAGGTTCAGAGTGGTTGAACTAATTACCCTGCCAGTAAATGCTAGTGCTTCTTGAACTTAGGTCTTCTGGTATTAGAAACAGCGCTCCACAATAGCATTATCTGCTCATAAAAATGCATCATGAATTCATTCAGTAAGAATTAGTGAACAGTTGATACGTGGCAGTCACTGTGCTTTTCCTAGAAATTTTACAATAATCCTGATATAGCTGGTTGTCTTTGAGCAGTCCCAAAATTATAAATACCTTGAGGGCAATCCCAACACTTTATCCAGCGTTGGCTGATGGTGAATTCTGAAGATTTAACTGAAGTTTATGGAGGATAGAGATGAGGACTATCATGTTAAACTGGAATCTCCTCAGAGATGGTCGTGTTTCACTTATTAATGTAGAGTCAGCATTTAGCACAGTGCTTGGCAAATACTGGTCTAATATCTGACAAATGAACAACACATCATGCAGGCAAATGTGGTTCATCTTCCCAAATAAGTTCTCACACACCCCCCATGAGGCCTTCCTCCCAGAATTATTGATGAAACTGCCCTGAGTTGGCCTATGAAGACTTCTATCTCTTGCAAACTTGTTAGGATTCTCCCTGGTGTTCCTGGTTTCCCAATACAAGTTTGTCGCTGTTGTTGGTTTTAATCTGAAACCAAGTATAATGAGTTAGGGCTAAAAAAAAAAAAAAATCCAAGTCAGAACATTCCAACAGTGGAATACACAATAACAAAAACATTCTTATGGGAAGATAAGGAATCCTGAGAAGAACTGGTAAGGAATGAGAACAGAGACAGTAACATTCCAACCCAACAAAAGCAAATCCACTCCAGATCCCTTTACAGACAGTTTTGTCTGAGTTGGTTTTGTAATTATATCTCAGAGAGTTTCCGCTGTACAGCAGCCTGTCAGCAGTTCAGGGCTTCAAAGTGGTTTCTCTGAATCCAGGGGCTGAGAGTTCCCAGGAACCGTGAGTTAGAAAGAGGAAGAGAAGTAACAGAGACGAGGTTCCCCTTTCCTCAGGCCCCTGCTCGCTGGCATTTTGTTTTGGGGACTAACCTCCAGCTGAGGGGAAACAGGCTTTTTTCTTTATTTATATGCCTTGATGCCTACCCCTCTAGTTGAAAGAAAAATAATTCCTCTTTTACAAAAAAAGTCACAAAGCCGGACGTGGTGGCTCACGCCTGTAATCCCAGCACTTGGGAGGCTGAGGCAGGAGGATCCTTGCGAGTTTGAGACCAGCCTGGGCTATAAAGTGAGCTCAAGGCCAGCCTGAACTGCATAGCAAGACCTTGTCTCAAAAAAACAAAAACAAACAAACAAAAAATGTCACAAGTCTTACTCCCTTTACCTCAGAAACTTACCCTCAGGTTTAGCTTAAAATTAAACTAAATACTTGCCAGAGTTTGGCAGTGTTTCATTTTATATAATCTCTCCTTGCTTCTGACCTTCTCACAGATGGAGGATGTTTCCCTAGACTGGGTGGGTGGGTGGGTGGGGGCACAAATATTCTTTCAGCATATCACTGAGGTTAAGAAAGTGGGATATTTAGATTTTTAAAAAATCAGGTTGTGCCTGAGAGCTGTTGTAAGTTGAAGGTAGTCTTATTTGAAACAATGAGTTCAACATTTCAAAGTAAAAGGAAAATAAAATCAAGACGTATACTCCTTACATCTGAGGGAGACATCATGCGATGTTTCATTTTCTACCAAGCCAGGCAATGTCACCTCCCCTAGCAACACTTGGCGCTGGCCTCTCAGTTGAAAATTTATTTCTTCTGTGACGGCAGGAACTTTGCAGAACACTGAGAACTGGAGGCTGAAAGGAAGAAAAAAAAAGTGGTCTTCCAGCTCAGAGAAGAGATTCTAAGACATCCTTGCTAACGCAGCATTGCCGAAAGGGCTTGTGCATGAGGCAGGCACAACTGTTCAGTGGGCTGAAGGGACTTGCAGAGCTCGTGAGAGTTTCTGATGAAGCAGCACACAGGAGTGCCTGTTGGTTATTGTACACATGCTGTGCAATCTGTAATTTGACTTCTTTGGACCTTTTTTATTACTATACGTTGCAAAGCCTGATGGTAGCCTGCTTTTCCTTTGCTATCAGAATTCCTCCCTGGTTTCATGATGGAGAATTGAGGCTTTGAGGAAGAGTGTTAAATACTCCTTCAAACTACACAGACAGAAAAGGCTCAGAGAGGTTACTATGTTTTCTTAGTGTCTGATGACAGGAACATCATCCCAGTTCTCCGAATTTCCTCATCACATATATTTCTGCGCATCCCAGTGTGGTTGGATGCTGTCTGAAGTATCCAGGAACCGAGCCAAAAGCAGGACCAAGCAAAGCTGACTGACTGTGAAGTGTGACTGAGTGTAAAGACAAACCTAAAGAGGAACTTAGAGCCCGCCTCTTCCCTCGGGCTGGTACTCTATTCTTGAGTTGCCAGATTTAGCAAAGAAATACAGAGATACCTGTATTTTAACCTGTAGTCTAATTAAAACTCTATATCCTCCATCGGAACCTATTTTGGGGGAAAATCTGGGTTAGTCATCAAGTCTTACAGTTAGCCATCAATTTTTCCTGAAGTCTGGCTGGAGATAAATATGCGTTAGACTAATAACCTGAAGGGTGTGAAAAATGCAGATTCCTGATTATTACCCTAGGCTCCCAGAATCAAAAATTGCAGGAGAGGGCCTAGGAATAAGCATTTAGAAGCCTCCTCAGATCATTCTGAGGGCACACTTAAGCAAGACAATATTGAATGACCTCAGGACTTTACTCTTACAGCCATACTTCTGGACTTCTTCCTACTTGTGTGTATGCGAGCTGGCATTTACAGGGACCCCAATATAGTTGATCCCTTAATTTCTTCTTAAAGGAATTTGGACTTAAGCAACAAGAAAAGGGTGCGAGTCTCTTGGCACACTGGGTGTCCAGAAGGTGAGTGGGAGAAGCGGTGGAACGCTCAAGATACACGTTTTGGTTTTAAAAAGACTACAGGTCCCAAAATGCAATTCGACTTCCCAAAGACTACCGTTCCCAAGATGCAGTGCGATCAAATTAATAAAGGGGAAAAAAACTGCAAGCCTGGCTGGAAATTTTTGCCTTTCGTTTTGCCCTGGGCTAAAGAGTTAGAAAAACACTGGAGGATATTTTTTGCAGGAATGGTCACTCCCTAAAGCCAGGAGAGGAGGGGGAGGAGCCTAAACAGAGTCGCGCCTCTGCCCTATTAAACTCACGTCGTTTATAGTTTGGCCGCTGGCTTTTCAGGAGCTGAGAGTAGCTTCGCATCCCGAACTTTCCCAATGGTTTCGGTGACCAGAAACGTGTTTGGAGAGCTGCCCCTGGGGGGAGGGACGGTGGAGAAGTTCCAGCTGCAGTCAGACCAGCTGAGAGTGGATATCATCTCCTGGGGCTGCACGATCACAGCTCTGGAGGTCAAAGACAGGCAGGGGAAAGCCTCAGACGTGGTGCTCGGCTTTGCCGAGTTGGAAGGTGGGTTGCATCCTGCCCCAGGCCGCTGGCGGACCCCAGGCGCACGCCTGGCACCCTGGCACCCTCTGGTTCGCTCGGGCCGTCGGCCGCATTAGGGACAGAGAGCCAAGTTCCTGAGCTTGGGGCCGTCTAACTCAGGAGTATGTGAATCTTGCTAATAGGATAGTTCTGCGATCGGCGATTGGGGGAAAAAAAGAATGCAGATAGCTCTAGGACATGGTGTCTTGATTTTCCGTTCGGGGTTTACCTTTGGTTACCAAAAAGTCAGTTGCGATTAAGACAAAGTTTCAGTAACCCTGGGTCAATCTTTGAACTGCTGGTCACTGGGAGTGTGTGGTTCCCTGTTCTCTTTCTTGTGCTCTTATTGAACTAGAAAAATTACAACATGTGCCTTGTATTTCCTTTTTCCTTTGTCAGACACTCTTCGAAGCCTAGCTGACCCAGAAATTCATGATAGTGTGAGCAGACTGTATGACTGGAGATTTTGCCTGTTTTGGTCAGTGGACTATAATGCTCTGCCCGCCCCCAACTCTCTTTCTGCTCAGAAATTAAGTAGTTAAGGAAAGAAGTCCAGCTCTGTCTAGAAATTAGGCCTCCTTTTAACTAGATGGACTTTTATTCCATCAGAGTCCATGGGCAATGAGGATCACGTATTAATTCATGGACTTTAAAACTTTTAATTCATTTTAAGTCAATTCGGAAAGCCTACTTTAGCAAGACAAACAAGGTCTCCACCTTTTAAGGGGTTTGCAGGTTAGCTGAAGAGACAGATTTTTACCCAGCATTGCATAAAGAAATAATTTTAATTGCAGTTTGATTGCAGCAAGAGGAAAGGTAAATTATGCTATCTCTTTGTATTGTGGTGTAACTAGACAGAAAACCAGGTCTGAGATAGAACTGGCAAGGGGAAACAATACCCCTCTGGTCTGTGGTGAGTTATGTAGACGAATTCTGCTGGAGAGGAGGCTTGAGGTTTTTTTCCTTTTGGCATGTCATTCTGCCTGTTTGGTTCTCTATATTTTTAAACTGGCTCATGATTTGTGGTCAACAGAAAAACTTTGTTTTGATTATAGAAAAAATATTTTATTTCTTTAGTACAATTTATGAAAAGGATGTTGTAAGGATTTTGTTCCTCACCCCTGGTTGTCTGTGTGTCACACGTGGCTTGGAGAAGGGCAGTTCTTTTGATTTCATGTGAAGTGTGGGTTGCAGTAGCTTGGCACCCAGGAAGCACTAGCTTCTTGCAAGCATGGAAATGTACTGAAGGGACAACTGTGTGGAAATGCCAGTTACTTGGAAATATTGATTGTGAGAGGCCATTTACAAAACCATTTGTATGTCTGTGACCTTTATGAGGGTCTCAGTGAAAGAACTGTTCTTGAGCTGGGCGTGGTGGCTCACACCTGTAATCCCAGCACTCTGGAGGCTGAGGCAGGAAGGATCCTTGTGAGTTCGAGACCAGCCTGGGCTACAAAGTGAGCTCAAGGCCAGCCTGAACTTCATAGCGAGACCCCGTCTCAAAAAGACAAAAAAAAAAAAAAAAAAAAAAAAAAAAAAAAGAATTGTTCTTAAAAAACAAGCTGGATATGGTAGCACACATCTGTAATCCCAGCACTTGGGAGGGTGAAGCAGGAAGTTGTTGCAGTTCAAGACCAGCCTGCTCTACACCGGGAGACCCTGTCTCAAAAGAAAGAGAGAGGGAGGAGGGAGGGGAGAACTCCCTTTAAATTGCGAAGATCTAGCTGGGTGTGTTTTCCTGGCTTCCCTCAACTCAACACATTTTAAGAATGTTTGCTAGCGTTTTCTGATCAGGATGCATGCAGCTTCACCAAATGCCAAGTTGAATCAGAGCATTTCAAATACTCTTTTGAGTGTATGATCGAGTTGGACATTTTCATTCTTATATTTTAATGTGGACAATTTAATTCTTCTAAAAGGAGTTAATGCTATTCTCAAAACAAGTTGAAGGAGAATATCCTTAGAATATGAAGTAGTGCTTTTTCATATGTGTAGTGGTCTTTGAGGTTGTTCTAACTGGACCCTAGTTCTTTTAAGGCTGTGCTTTTCAATTTTTTATAGCACCTTTTAGTATTGCCACAGACTTCACATATGACAGGAAGCAGATTGTCTCAGTCATTAAAATATAAAATGTCTCTGCAACTATTTTGGTTAATTCTAATATCTTAAAATCCATATTAAGAAACACGTATCATTGGCTATTTTATTATTATTATTATTATTATTATTATTTTGGTTTTTTGAGATAAGATCTTGCTATGTAGCTCAGGCAGGACTTCAACTCACTATGTAGTCCAGGCTGCCCTCAAACTTGTCGTAATCCTCCTGCCTCTTGGCCTCTCAAGTACCTGGATTACAGGTGTGTACCACAATGCCCAGGAGTGGTTGTTTTTTTTTTTTTTTTTTTTGTACCAGGGATAGAACTCATAACCTTGCGCTTGCCAGGCAGGAGTTTATGCTGCTGAGCTAAAGTCCCCAGTCCCAGCAGTGGTTATTCTTAAGAAAGGAACCTTGGTAGCTTGGGTGTAGAGTATAGGATGGACACAATTTCACTGTGTATCCTTTTTAAATGTCTGCTTATATAAGTGTACATGAACAAGCTGAAGTAAATAAAAAAGTAATAAGACTTGACACAATACAGGATTATCTTGACATTACTATGTCCCAGAAATGTTTTGATCCATGAGGACGGGCCAAGCATGGGTAATTCCATGAGACATGGGCCTTTTGTAACTGCCAGACTGGATGTGAACAATCTTTAGTTTCCCAGATAGGTTATATAATCTGCTTGGATGATAGCCATAAGTTGAGGTCAGAATGTTTTAATTTCTCCTAGGGAAAATGAAGTCTTTTCTCTGTATAATTCTAAAGAGGTAAATTATGTAAATCTTTTAGTTACAGTTTGGAAAAATAATCAGTAAAGCCTATGAGCTGTAAATCTTTTAGTTACACTTTGGAAAAATAATCAGTAAAGCCTATGAGCTCTTCCTACCAATTGGTGTCTTTAAAAATGTTTTTAAAACTTTACTGTTAGATTTCTTTCAAAGCGTGCTGTGATAAGAATATCACTTAGAAGTCACAGATAGAAACAACTTGGCCAATCAATCAGTGAGACATCTTTCCCTTGACTTTTCCCCTAGTTACCACCAAATGACCTGTTAGTGCAGTAACTTTTTTTGGAAGAAAAAAAAAAATAGAAAAACAAGCTCTAATGAGAGCTAGGGACTTGACTCAGTGACAGAGCACTTGCTTGCTAATGTGCGAAGATCTGGGTTTTACCCCTCAGTACCACAGTAAATAAACAAACAGTGCTTTTAGAAAACCTGAGTTCAGATGAAGTATGAAGTGGAAATCAAAGGAGTCAGGTGAATGTTGCAGATGCCCAGGAGTATCTTTGAGGGGGCACTGAGGGGGCCCAGTTTAAATCTCTACCAAAAATAAATAAATCTCCCAGGCGCAGTGGGGCATGACGGTAATCCCAGCACTTGGGAGACAGAGGCAGGAGGATCATTGCAAGCTCAAAACCAACCTGGGCAGCAAAGTGAGCCCAAGACCAGCCTGAACTGCATAATGAAACCCTGTCTCAAAAAGAAAAAATCAATCAATCAATCAATCTCTACCTTGTCCCTCATAGCTTGTGATTTTAGGCAAGGGATTGAACTTCTCCAGACCTGTCCCTTCCTTAAAATGCATTGGGATGATTAAATACATTGTGGACTGTGATACATCTCTACTCAGAATGAGCAATTAGTTATTTTTATCCCCCTTCCTTCCGTTGCTCCCTATATTTCCCCTCACCCTGCTAGAACTTTTGTTTCATTTGGTAGCCTGCAAAAAAAGACAGCATCGATGCCAAGCATGGTGACTCCTCCCTGTAATGTCAGCCCTCTGGAAGAAGAGACAGGAGGATTGCTGCAGGTTCAAGGCCAGCTAGACTGTATAGTGAGTTCAGCCTGAACTTCAAACTGAGACTCAGTCTCAAAGGAAAAAGAATCATAGATAGATCAATCAATTAGTCGATCTGGGATAATTAAAGTGATTATCAATTTTCAGCCACTTTTAGGGGGAAACTCTTGTAAAAAGAGTAGTAAATAATTTTATTTCTCTCTGAAGTGGGTATAATAATAGGGATCTGGGGGGTTAGCGAAGTGGAAAGATCATATCCTATGACTAAACATTTATTAATTGATTCTGGCCGGTATTTTCCCTAGAAAAGGAATGAACTTTCTCTTCCTGGTGCAGTTGACTGGATCAAGGCAGCCTTCACGTGGATTGACCTAGGAACTTTGAACTTTTCATGTTTTCTACAATTCAAAACAGTTTTTTAATCCTGCCCAATTTGAGATTTGCAGGTTGTCACTCTGTAATTCTGTTCTGAGGTGAAAAGTTAGCAGCGTTTGGAGATAGTGTGAACTCTGTTCTGTGAATTTTTGAGATAACTAAGAATAAGGTGTCTCGATCCTCTGCTTTAATTACTTATGATTATCCATCCAAACCGCGCGCTGCTTAGCTGTTACCCAGGAGGGGCCGCTTCAGGGGTCCCTTCCTAGCCTGTGGCTAGAGGGTTACTGCTAGGAGTGTGCTCGTTTCCAGTGGCCAGTGCACCTCCAGAGAGACACTTGTGAAGTAAGTCAGGGTAGGGCTGAAAATGAGCTACAGGCTAACAGTTGTTCAGACAAAAATTCTGCTTTCCTTTATTTATTTATTTATTTTTAGCCTTATTGGGGTTCAGAAAACAACACTCCAAAGTAAAGGCTTTAGAAATAGCTTCTGACTTTCTGTCCAAATCTTCTTCACCACGGCAGATCATAGAACCAGAAACCTCTTTTTCCCAAAACCAAGCATAAAACCTAGAAATGTTACTCTACTCACCCCTGCTCTTTCTGTCAAGAGTGAGCCATTAAAACAAATTCTCTGCTCAGCGCAGTGGCACACTCCTGTAATCCCAGCTGCATGGGAGGCTCAGGTGGGAAGATCACAGGCTCAAGGCCATTTAGGGGCTTAAGCAAGACCTTGTCTCAAAATAAAAAAACCAAAAAGGACTGGGGATGTAACTCTGTAGTAGAGCACCCTTGGTTTTAATTCCCAGAACTGCAAAAAAAAAAACAAGAAAAAAGATTGTCTCACTGCCTTGGCTCATTGTAGGTCACAGACTTCACCATGCTGCAGAGGGCTCTGCCCCACATTTGGGAAGAAAGAATGCTGCCCAGATGGATCAGAAAGAATCTGGACAGGCAGGCCTTGCTGGGTTTCTCCTTCTGTCACTATTATTTCATCAAACCTTTCTTGTCTAATCATATTTCTATATATCTGTCCATTCTTCATTACACCAAAGCACAAAAAGGATAGTTCACCCTGAGGTCACTGAGTCTGCAATCTGAAGGTGCCTGTGTCAAATAAACTATGACCAAAGAGATACATGATGCATTTCCCTTGATAAATTGTCTTTTGCTGTGATTATTGCTGATGGTTGGGAAAGGGATCATGCCCATCTCTGTGAAAATCAGGGGTGAAAGAAAACCAACAAGAGCTTGTTTGGCTCTTTGGGACTGACTCTGGTTAACCAATTGTTTTGGCTTGTATCTGGATGTCCCCCAAAATCTCCTGTTGACGTAGGAAGGCCTTTTCGGAGGTGGCTTGATCTAGAGTGATCCTGGGATTGACATGAGGGTGCTGCTTGTTGCTTACGGACTTCTGCCTGCCCGCTCTGCAAAGCCCCTCTGCCCCGCACCCTCCACTCAACTATGAACTGAAACCTCCTGAAACTGAGCTATATAGTAAACTTTTCCTCCTTTAACTTTGGGCATCAGGTATTTTGTCTCAGCAAAGAGAAAAGTAAGACACGAGTGTAAGCAGTTTTAAAACTACAGGTTCAAAAAAAACCAGGAGGATGGGGAGAAATAGAAGCTGGTAGAGAGATCAGCCTCACCCAGAGATGGTACTAGCGGTGATCAACTAAAAGGTTTTGTGCTTCCAGATACCCTCAGCCTTCCATATCTGTAGATTTTATATGCATGGATTCATCCAACCACAGATAGAAAGTCTTTGGGGGACAAGAAATGCATTTACGCTGGCTGTGGTGGAACATGTGTATAATCTTAGCTAGTCAGGAGGCTAAAGGAGTAGGATCATAAGGCCAGCATTTTAGCAAGGCCTGGGCAGCTTAGCAAGACCTTGACTCAAAAAATAGTACTATAACCAGGGCAGAGGATGTATTCATGCAGGTAGTACGCTTGCCTAGCATATGTGAAGCCCTGGGTTTGGTCTCCAGTACCAAAAAAAGAAGAAAATCCATTTGTACTCAACTTATTTCTTGATTTTTTTTTTTAATCAGTACTGGGGATTGAACTCACGACCGCACACTTGCAAGGCAGGCACTTATGCCAATGAGCTAAATCCCCAGCCCTTACTCAACTTATTTAGGCTTTCTTCTTGTCATTCCCTTAACGATATAGTATAAACGTTATTTCCATTGTGTTAGATGTCATATGTAATCTAGGGATGATTTAAAAGTATATGGGAGGCCTGGGCATGGTGGTACACAGATACCAAAATTTGTAGATGCTCAAATCCTTCATATAAAATGGTAGCATTTGTATATAACCTGGGCTGGGGGTTTAGCTCAGTGGCATAAACGCCTGCCTGGCAAGCGCAAGGTCATGAGTTTGATCCCCAGTACCCCCCTCAAATCTGTATAACCCTCACACATCCTCTCAAATACCACTTTTCTTCCTCCTCCTCCTCCTCCTTCTTCAACAGGGTCTTGCTATATGGTTCAGGCTGACATTGAATTTGCTGTGTAACTCAGGCTGGTCTCAAACACCTGGAAATCTTCCTACCTCAGCCTCCCAAGTGCTAGGATTACAAGCATGTGCCACTGTCCCTTGCTGGGGCAAGTAATCTTCCTATCCTCTTGTGTTCAGCTGCCACATCTGTAAAACAGAGGTAATGGTAGTATCTGCCTCAGAGAAATATTCCGAGAATGAAATGAGTTCAGTGTAGTGCACCACAGAAGTGACCAGGACCGGGAAAGTGTTCAGTCTGTGTTAGCTGAGTGACAGTCCGTGGGAAAGACTCCAAGGCACCATAGATTAGCCAGGAAGGAACCAAGACAGCCTGGAAGAGAAGAGAACGATCAGTGTTTACCTTCCGCATGGCCAGTTGAGGTGCAGGAACTTACCCTGTAACTGGCATAACTGGTTCAGAGTCATCTGTATCCTGAGAGCCCCTCGCCTGTACAAAAGTATTGCAAACACTTGAGCTGCATTCTCCACTAATCCAAAAACAAGGTAGGTATGGAGGACCTCAGAAAAGGACAAGGGGATCCTGAGTGATCTGAAGGAAAATCTTGGACTATATCCGGACCTTGCTTGTAAAGCAAATGCAGAAAAATTTAAAGAAAGGAAAAGTACTAGAATATGCCCAGGCACAAGCTGTAACTGCAGTAATACAGTATCACTTTCTGTACCCTCGCCACAAGTCTGTCACTGTTTTATGCTCATCAGTGTAACTTTTAGCCATGAAAAGGAGTAAGGCAGAGAGATATGTAGTGACCTAGAGAGCTCTGAAGACATTTGACAAATGAGAAGTTGCAGAAAATGTGTATGGTACAATTTCATATACGGAGAATATATGTATGTGTGTATTTGTGTGTTTATATGTAGTTAGTGCAAAGAAAAAGTGTGCATGTCAAATTCTTTAACAGTGGTTACCACTAAGAAGAACAGGTAAAGAATGGCTTTTATGTTTTACCTTGTAGTAAGGTTGGTGGATTAGTAAATAGTGTAAAATACTGGGTGCTTAGCTTAAATTTCAGGTGAACAACTGATACTTCATATGTATAATAGTACTGTGAAAATACTTATACTAAATTTCATAATCTGCAATTTAGGTTTAACTGGACATTCTATATGTCCTCCAGCAAGCCTACCTCTTCTGCAGTTCAGGCTGGACTGAAACTCCCCATGTAGCCCCAGCTAGCCTTGAACTTGAGGTGATCCTCCTGCCTCAGCCTCCTATTGCTGGGATTACAGGCATGTGCCATCGTATCTGGCTTCCTTTTATATTACTTAGCTCTCTGTAAAGAATATTTCCATATACTAATTGTATAGTTTTAAAAAAAAGAATAAGATAATTTTCTCCCAAGACTACATAAATGTCTATTGTTTAGTTAAGAACATTGATTGGGCTAGGAAAAAAATTATAAAGCAGCCATATACCAAGATCCCAGTTTTATTTTTAAAAAACACAGTATGCATACACTAGAAGAGGGAAGGATATAAATAAGAATACGAACAATAGACCTCTCCGGTGATGGGATTAAGGAGGATTTAAATTTCTTTGTGCATTATAAAAATCCTTTAAAATTTTTATAATGGACATGAAGCACTCCTATGAAAGGAAAGGTCATGTGTAAACAATTCCACAGAAGAGAGCGGTGAGCAGCGGTAAAACTAATCTCCTGTCTTCGCAGGGTACCTCCAAAAGCAGCCCTATTTTGGAGCAGTGGTGGGAAGAGTGGCCAACCGAATCGCCAAAGGGACATTCACCCTGGACGGGAAGAAGTATCAGCTGCCCATTAACAGGGAGCCCAACAGCCTGCATGGAGGACTCAGGGGGTTTGATAAGGTAAGTTAGGGGCCCTCAGACAGAGTCCCCTCTTGGCACAGTTCACAAAGTCCCCTCAAGTACCTTCTGTTTGCAGAGCCCCAGGCCTGGACCACAAGCATTTTAAGGTGAGCCAGGGTGTGTGGAGCAGACCCAGTGGTCACATCGGGGGCCCGTCCTTCTGTAGCTTCTCCCACTGTCACCCGCAGAGGAGCTCTGAGCAAAACTATGAGAGCCCCGACTTGGGGGAAGATGGAAAAACAACTTTCTCACAACTTGAGACGCAGAGAGTCAGGCTAACAAAACATGGATTAGTAACAAGACCTGGCACTTGCTGCTCAGGCATCTGCATATGTTATCTCCAACGTTTACCGCAGCTCTGGCTTACAAGCCAATGAGAAGGCTGAGGTTCTGAGAGGTCACACAGCTCCTCAGTGGGACAGCCAGGTGGGCCTGTCCACCCACCTTCTGCTGAGGTCCCAAGTCCACTCCACCTTCCGCTGAGGTGCTTTGTGCTGTCAGATTACCTCCAGTTCTCTCCACTTTCCCTTTCTAAATAAAAAGTGGATCCCTGGAAAACAGGTCCAGAAAGCAAATGGGTCCAGCAGCTTCTCCCAGCTGTAGAAATGCCTGGCCTCCTGCTCCCCAGACCCATGGGCGTCTGCAGGTTAACCGTGGGAACTTGTCTCTTGATTGCAATTCAGGCTACTAGAGAGAATACTTCAGAGAGAAAGTTCCTTAAAGTACCCCCACGCCCTCTGGCTGGAGGAGAGCCGGAGAAGAGGAACAGATGCAGCCACTAACGACCACAATTTCTTCTTTTCTGCCTCTGGCCACCACCTCTTCTTTCTGTCTGTGGTCTAGAACTAGACTGCTCTGTTGATTCTCTTTCCTCAGTGACAGACTCTTTACCCAGGGAGAGCCGAAGGCTGTGCGCTGCCAGTGTTGGAGCAGAGTCTCTAAAGCATGCCAAGCCCCTGGCAGCGCCCAGCCAGGAGAAGCTGGATCCAGCTCAGATTGGGGTGAAGATCAGAGTTATCTCAGAGCAGCACCTTGTTCTATCATGTTCCTGTTCCCTCTGTGGTGTTTTCTGTGATATTGCTTCATAAGTATTCCCTGTATGAACACAGAAAGATAGTCTTTGTTTTTCAGGTGCTATAGCTAAAATACAAACTGGATAACTTATAAAGATACGTAGCTTACAATTGTGAAGGCTAGAAAGCCCAAGAGTAGGGTACAGCCTCGGATAGGGCCATCTTGCTGCGTGATGACAGCGGGAGGATGTCAGTCACATGGTGGGGTTTGGGTCTTTCTTACAAAGGCACTGATGCCATCTTAGGAGGGGTAACCGTCAATGACCTCTCATCCCCAACCACCCTTGAACACCTGCGGTGGAGATGGCGGCTGAACAGCCCTTGGGGAACAGGTAGTGTTGCATTCAGTCCCTGGATATTAGGGCAAAGAGCCATGCACAGCCCAGAGGGCCTGGGAAAGAAGGAATGTTTTTATACGATTTTTTTTTTTTATCGGTACTGGGCCTTGAACTCACGACTGCGCGCTTGCAAGGCAGGCCCTTATGCCGCTGAGCTAAATCCCCAGCCTCAGAACGAGTGTTTTTAATGCAGCTGCTGAAAGGTTCTGAACAGCAGGTTTTGATATGATAACATAAGCAGCATCAAATGAACTTTTTTCTTAATGTTTTATTGGATCTCAACAACTACGAAATGAATAGTTTGTAGGTATGTGTTTTTCTATTTTTAGGGTTTTTTGCAGGGGCTGTTTTTTTTTTTTTTTTTTTTTTTTTTTTTGAGGCAGGATTTTGTCCTCTATTTCAGGCGGGCTTTGGACTCACTTTGTAGCTCCAGCTGGCCTCAAACTTGCAGTAATCCTCTTACCTCAGCCTCCCAAGTGCTGGGATTACTGGCATGCACCACCATATCCAACTAACACTTTTTTTTTTTTTTCCTTTTTCTTTTTTATCGGTACCAGGGATCAAACTCACGACCACACACTTGCAAGGCAGGCGCTTATGCCACAGAGCTAAATCCCCAGCCCCAACTAACACATTTTTTAAAAAAGATGAAAGTTGAGTAACCTGAGAGGATTCAAAATAGTACTTGAAAGCCTAACAATGCAGAATTCCTGGATATTTGGAAACGATAAAGTCAGGAAAATCTTCCCGTTAATAAGATTTATGCTTAACTCCTAATTCGGTTTATACAAAAATCTCTCCATTGTGTCCTTTCTCTAAAAGAGAACATTTAGGGCTGGGAATGTAGCTCAGTGTGAAAGCCCGGGATTGAATTCCCAGTACTGGGGGAAAAAAAATACTGGGAGGAATAAGAAGCAGCAAATATCTAGGTAGCAAGGTAATATTTTCTTTTTTCTTTTTTAAATTACGCATGTAACAGACTTCCTATTTTAAGTATCTTGACAGTTCAGCATTTCTGGGAGACAACTCAGATGTAAAATTCATTTTTTCTTTACTAAGCCCAGCGAGTAGGTTTCCAATGCCAGCTGCTTTCCTGGGAGGAGGCCGAGACCAGCCTCCTTCCTGGCTGGCCCCGCCCGCAGTGGTGGGCAGAGCTAGGGTCCTGGGCGTGCCTCTGGCTCCGGAGGTCATCTGTTAACTTTGCTGGAAAGACAGTTTGAAATCACCAGTTAACAGTCATCTGTTAACTTTGCTGGACTGTTGAAGATAGAGATTTGAAGAAAACATGAGCCAACCAAAACTCAGGTATAGAACAATATGCAGTATGCAGCCAGACCAGTTTGAAGCTTGGCTGTGGAGCGCTTGTTTCCGCAGCACAGACAGTACTGAATCTTGGCTGTGGGACTACTTACATTTAAAAAAAAATTTTTTTTTTTTGGTACCGGCGATCAAACTTACAATCTCACGCTTGCCAGGCAGGCACTTAGGCCACTGAGCTAAATCCCCAGCTCCTACTTGTAAAATTTTTAACAAGATTTTTTTCCTTAAATGAAGTGTGAAAAGATTACATAACACTCCTCTAGGATGTGGGAGGTGGCAGTGCACAAGATAATGCTACTGAACTCAGTTCGCTCATCTGTAAAGTGGGGATAATGTTGTTGGAGTCATCTGAAACTGTTAGTGTTTAAATTCTGTGTTTTTTTTTTTTTTAATTTGTTTTAGTGTTTAAGTTTCAACCTACAAAGACGATTGTTTCATTATTATTGTTGTTGTTATTTTTGGCTTTTTGAGACAGGGTCTCACTGTGCATTTCAGGCTGGCCTTGAGCTCACTTTGTAGCTTAGGCTGGTCTTGAACTCGAAGTGATTCTCCTGCCTTAGCCTCTGCTGGGATTACAGGCATGAGCCACCATACCCATCTTAGATGATTGTTTCATTTGGCTTAATTTATTACTTTCTTGCACATACACCACCACCAAGTCAGGGACTGGTGGGCACTGCACAAATTGAAGGTCTTTTATTTGCCATAGGCTCTTTACTAGGGACCCCAGAACTCCCCCAAGGAATGAGGACTCTGGCCAACAGAGTAAGGGAACAGGGACAGGCTCCAGGGCAGATCCACTATCGCTTGGGAATTATGCAGCCTGGGACAAGCAGTTTGTTCTCTCTGAGCCTCTGTTCTCTGCCCCAGGGAGGATAAGGAGCCTACTCTGAGTGTACTCCAGGGGTGGGACTGGGCATGTGAAGTGTTGGTCAGAGGTCCTCGCTTATCGTGGGCACTCGATAAATGGTGGTTTTTCCCTCCCTTTCTAAAAGAGTGGTCTTCAGGTCAACTGGAGAACAGCTACTGTGTTATCCAGGATTCGTATTCACATTCCTCCTTTTAAAAACTTTTTTGGAAAACTCTTCATTATTTCTTAGGGCTGAGGATTTAGCTCAGTGGTACAAGCGCCTGCCTGGCAAGCGCAAGGTTGTGAGTTCGATCCCTGGTACCAAAAACAAAACAAAACAAAAAGAAACAAAAACGTATTTTCTTGTCATTCTTAGAATCATATTTGCTAGAACTAGAAGATGCTTCCAACATGATTGTTTAAAATTTTGTTTGTTTTTGGTTTTTTGAGACAGGGTCTTGCTATGCAGTTCAGGCTAGCCTTGATCTCATCTTGCAGCTCAAACTCACAACGATCCTCCTGCCTCAGTCTCCTGAGTGCTCATTACAGGCATGCACCACCACACCCGGCTCCAACATAATTTTTAAACTGCTTCATTTTATAGAAAGATCCATGCGTGAAGTCATAGGATGAATTAGGAGCAAACCAGGCCCCCAAATTAGGAATCTTGACTTGGAGGTCGGAACACTTCCTAATGGAAAACAAGTACCTTATTTGTTTTAAATTCTACCCTGGGAACATAAGAACCTTGTAGTTTTTAAAAGTATTTGTATACAGTGTCTCAAGAGAAAAAGGGTGATTCATTAAGGCTATTTTTTAGTGCTGTTAAAAAGTATTGCCATATGACATTTAACAGAATAGAGCTCCAAGATTAAAATAAATGTATGTCAAAGAAAAAAATCCAAAACGAAAAAAATATTACAGATATACGTAAAATTAGAAAGCAAGTAGGGAATGGGAGTAGGTATAGAGAAAAATAAGTACTTTGAAAACCATTTATCTTTATAAAAACAAAGTTTTAGATTAGTTAAAATTCAGGCTCTTAGTCAAAAGCCTTTGTGATTATATAACTGCATCCCTTTCTGCAATCAGTTATCTTGAATATTGAAATGTGGCATTTAGCTCGGGGCTGGTATGACTCAGCAGCTGTGAAAACACTTTTTTTCTAGGTCCTCTGGACGCCTCAAGTGCTGTCAAATGGTGTCGAGTTTTCCCGGGTCAGTCCAGATGGCGAAGAAGGCTACCCCGGGGAGCTGAAGGTCTGGGTGACGTACACCCTGGATGGTGGGGAGCTCGTGGTCAACTACAGAGCGCAGGCCAGTCGGGCCACACCGGTTAATCTGACGAACCATTCTTATTTCAACCTGGCAGGCCAGGTAAGTGTGCTTGCTGCTTCTCCCGTGGTAGCTTCATGCATAATCAGGTGGTGTGGCTAGAGAGATTAACCAGTGTGACTTCCTGTGGTGCTGGGGACAACCCTGTGAAGGTGAAGAGGGCTCTGCAGAGCACCTGGCTCATAGTCGGGACTCAGTCAAAAGAAGCCATAGAGGACGATGGGTGGATATTTGTCCTGCCAAGAGAAGTATCATTCCCCTTGCTCCAGACAAGCAACTGGTGATTTCAAGAAAGAATTCTTGCTCATCCAATTGCGACATGTGCTTGCATTCGTTCCCTTATTGACTTCCTATTCAATTCCAGACTACTTCCCTTTAACGTGCCTTCTAGACAGGTGTGGTGATGCGTGCCTGAATCCCAGCACCCTGGAGGCTGAGGCGGGAGTATTACTTCGAGTTCAAAGCCAGTCTGGGCAACAGTGTGAGTCTGAGACCAGCCTGAACTGCATAGTGAAACCCTATTTCAGACACACCCCTTTCCCCAAAAAGTGCTTTCTACCCTTGAATTCTTGGCAATGAGATTGTCCTCAACATTTAAATATGCTGCCAACATGTGCGTGCTCCCACCAGTAGCCCACTAGGGCTTCCTAGACCTCTGGTGGCCAGTCCTGCCTGGGACCGGATTTGGTTTAGAAGGCCTGGGCTTTTTAGATTAGTAGGCATGTTCTACATTTCATAATATCTCCTTTCTTGGCAAACAAGACCTAGCCAGAAAATAATCAGCCTTGAAAACTGGAGATGGAAAATGCCAGCCCTGTCAGCCTGTCTTTGTCTTATCTGCGTGACCGATCCCTTGCAGGGTGACTAAAAAGGTGGGCTGATCAGTGCTGTCATTTTTTGATCTTTAGTTTTGAAGGCTGATTATTTTCTGGCTAGGTCTTATTTTTGGAGAAATGCAGCAGCAGCCTATGATTTATCAGTCGCCGTTAGAAGCACTTTCTAAAGCTGCTTGGTAAAGATATTGAAATTAGCCTGGCATGGGGAAGAAGCCCAGGAGGAAGAAGGCCTTTTAAATGTCCCCTAAGGGTGATACAGAGCCAGGGACAGCTCAGTCTTGCCCTCTTAACCACCTCATTCTCTCTCAGGGGGCAAAAGCTCAGCCAAGCCTTGTAGGGTTTATCTATTCCTTCCTCCTTGTCTGAGAACTCATCACCAACCACTCATCCTGATTCGCCTTGGCAGGATTTCTGTACAAGGATGTTTACAGCCAACTGATAGCTTACATTTTTGCCCATTTGAAGGAGTTTGCTGCCACTCGGCTGATTTTTTTTTTCTGTAATTTTTCCTCAGATAGCAAAGCTAATTGGCTCTTACGTAATTTCCAAAGTTCACTCTTTAAAAATAAGAAAGATAGCTTTTTCTCTTGCTTTTTCTTATCTTCAGGAATGTCTACCACCCTTCTTGAGCTTTTAAAAATGAACCAAAAGCCAGAAGCAAACCAGAAAACCCCACCAGGACAGGGTCAGGTTTTTAAAATGCATTCAGAAGAAATGATAGAAATAGAACAAAACTGTAATTGCTTTATGTAGCTCATAAATTGGTAACTTTTCTCTGTCTTCCATTTTTATATATTTAGGGACATCTTATGTTATAATAATCTAAAGGATCAGAAACAGAAAGAGAAATTATATATGAAATGTTCCACCTGCCAGCGTCTCCACTGAAGGAGACAGGTAACAACGTAAGATTTTCTAAGATTTTGGTTCAGTTGCCAATCTTCCAGTCCTACGGAAGTGATGGGTATTTCTGAATCTCTTCCCCAAGGCTGAATCATTTCCTAGATCTCAGGCTTTGCTCAGAAAGTTTTGTTTTGTTTTTGTCTTTTTGAGACAGGGTCTCACTATGCAGGTCAGGCTGACCTTGGGCTCACTTTGTAGCCCAGGCTGGTCTGGAACTTGAAATGATCTGCCTGCCTCAGCCTCCTAGTGCTGAGATTACGGGAGTATGGCACCATGCTCAGCTAGAAAGTTTGTCTTTTGAGACAGGGTCTCACTACATAGTTCGTGGCAGCCTTGAACTCACTATGTAGCACACGCTGGCCTCAAACTCACAGCAATCCCCTTACCTCAGTCTTCTGATTGCTGGGATCGCAGGGTGTGCGCCACCTTACCTAGCTGTAAACTCCCCTTTTATAGGCCCTTAATAAGTGCAGCTCAGATCACCCGGCACTACCTTCAAGGCTGAGGACACTCGCCTTTGGAGTAGCTTTGCCGAGGGTGGATGAATGGTCACGGGCCTGGGATCAAGGGCCACTGCATGTCTAGAACCTCCTTTCTCCTATTCTCTGCCTCAAGCCCTCTCCAGGGAAATCACTCACAACTTGATATTTAAAGTAGTGAGTTCATCTTCTTTCACCTTTTTGTTTTCTAAACTTATTAAACAGTATTCTGTTTGGAACCCAAGAATTGGCCCATTGCTTCTAAGTGTTGGAAGCCTGGGAGGTGGCAGGGAGAGAGGTGCCTCTCAGTGGAGGAAGAAAGTCTTGTAGGGTCCAGTGTTTTTTGTTTTGTTTTGTTGTACCCTCCTGTGCCTAATACAAAACCCAGAGAATGTGTGTGTGCTTTTTAAATTTGAAACGTTACCTAAAGAGATGTGAAAGCAAGTCGGGGGAATTTGAGATGAAGAGCAATACTTGTGGTTCTTCTGTGACTGGCAGAAGGCGTCATCAGGCCGAGGTGCTTCCATTTTCCATTCTGCTTCCTCAGTGTTGGGTCTTGTCTGTGGGTCTGTCCCCTCACATCATCCTACGGCTGTGACAGCTCTAGGACTTACTTCCTTATATAGTCATCTCCAGAGATGAAAAAGGACCTGTTCCCTTTTCACGTCCCTAATGGGCCTCCTTTGTTTTAAAACGGGTCAGACCTTTCCTAGAAGTGCCCTGCAGACCAGGGTGTGACTCACCCTGCCTAACCTAATCGCCAGCCAGGGCAAGACCGTCCGGCCTGCAACCTGCCTTTCTTTTGCCCACTTTTTTTTTGGTCTTTTTCGTTTTTATCGGTACCAGGGATTGAACTCACGACTGCCTGCTTGCAAGGCAGGTGCTTATGCCGCTGAGCTAAATCCCCAGCCTTGCCCACTTTTTAAAAAGTATTACAATTGAAATAGTTTGTAAAGAGGCTTTGTTGTTTGCATACATTATACTATGTATTTGATATGTTCTTCAAGACAGTTCCTCTTCCTTTAATAACAAAAAGACACAAAAGGCAGGAAACCTCAGGTTGGACTTTCCTGGAAATGAATCCAGTGCAAACTCGTGCTTTGGGGATGGGGCGTGGGTTCCCCCCACCCCTGACTTTATGATCCATCATAAAATAAATAAGGGAGTCAGTTTCTGCCAGAAGAGGAACATGTTGTCAGAGGAGCAGGCTGCTGTGGCTTTTGTGTAGTGACAGACAATATTGGTCCCCTCCCGCTGATCTGTCACGAGCTGAATGACAGCAGCGGTAGTGGCAGTGCACATAACAGGGTTTAAGCCTGCATGCAAGTTGTAATGGCTTTGTATAGTGATGTCACAAGCTGGTAGCAGCTAATGTAAACTAAAACAAATATTGAACTCAGAGATGGGCCTCCTGGTACGTTTGTGAGTCAGCATTTCTTGCTGAGGTTTCTTCAGCCTTGAAAGGACATGAATCCAACAATCCTGTTCCGCCCGAATAGTCCATTGTGTTTGTCCAGGCCAGATGAAGCATGGAATGAAGCACGCTTCTCTTCTACCCAAAAAACGCCACTGCTCCCTCGTGCCCAGTGAGCACTCAGAGAAGGGGTGCCTGATAGATGTTCTTCCCTGCTCCCCACTTCTTCCTGGCATCTCTAACTCACCAGTTTATTTGGTTTTGATGTGAGATTTTCATGTTAATTCATTTTCTTCCTGCCAACCAAAAGTTCCTCTTGTTTGCTGTTTTTATGAGATGGGGTTCTGCTATGTAGTTCAATCTGGCCCTGAACTTATTATGTAAACTAGTTTGGTCTCAAACTCACAATGATCTTCCTGCCTCAGCCTCTTGAGTGCTGGGATTGCAGGTGCACACCACCATGCCTGGCCCTAGTTCTTAAAAAACAAAACAAGCCAGATGCAGTGGTGGACGCCTACAATCCCAGTACTCCTGAGACCAGTTACATAGTGAGGCTGTGTCTCAAAAAACCAATTCAAACCAAACAAAGCAAAACAGAAAAAGGACATTCATAAGTAACTGTGAGACATTAAGAAAAAGCCCACAGGTCCATTTATAAGAGGAAGGATATCACAGCACTCAACAGGCTGAGGCAGGAGGATTATTGCAAGTTCGAGACCAGCATGGGCTATAAAGTGAGCTTAAGGTTCACTATGCCTGAACTGCATAGCGAGACCCTGTCTCAAAAAGACCAAAAAAAAAAAAAGAGAGAGAAAGGATAAACAAATTGTCACATCATCATTATGTGGAAGATGTAAGCCACAAGAGAGTATCTGTGGTAAGATTCTAATTATGTGAGGTTCTAGAGTAAGCAAAACTAGTCTATTGCAATAGAAATCATGTTCTGCTAATAAACAGATCTGTGTCTTTCTTAAAAGAGTGAAAAGACACAGGCACTTGAGGGAAGAGTGAAGACCTGGACGGATGCTGGGCCACGAGTCCAGAGCATGACCATGTGCAATCTTTATCCACTGATGATGTTCAAGAGGCTCTGTCTCTCAGGTCTCACTTGTACAAAGAAAGACAGAGGAGTCTTTTTAGGGGACTCGTCAGCTCTCTGTGGGCCATGTACCAAAACCCTCCATGTTAGGACTGAGGATACAGCTCAGTGATAAAGCACTTGCCTGGCATGTGCAAGGCTCCGGGTGGTCCCCAGTGTTACAAACAAACAAATAACAACAGCAAAAGTAAGCCAGGCATGTAGGTGCACGCCTGTAATTCCAGGTACTTGAGAGGCTGCGGCAGGAAGATTGCAAGTTCAAAGCCAGCCGGAGCAACCTAGCAACCCTGTTTCAAACTTAAAAATAAAAGAAAGCCTTGCTGGAGATTAGCTCAGTGTGAAGGCCCTCAGTTCAATCCACAGTGCCACAAAACTCCACGTTGAGCGGAGCATTGAACAGTTCCAAAATCCTTCTTGTTTCTGTTTTCCTCAGTCCCAGAAGCCTCTGCAGTGGCAGCGTTACGCTGGTGTAAGAGGATGTCACACAGGAGACACAGGATGCCACACAGGAGAGCTGCTGTCCTCTAGAGCTGTACTGGACAGGGACACAGACCCCTCCCATTTTGGAACTGTCCTTCCGGGGCTGAAGGGCAGCTAAGGGAGGGAGCATAGGTGGAGGGCAGGCCTCCCAACGCCTCTGCCCCATGCCCAGCACGTACACCCCTGGGAGACCATGAGGGAATCACTTCCTCAGCAGCAGAGCCTTATAGGAGTACAATTAAACCATTTCCTGATGGGTTTACTGCTGGTTTCCTCTCCTCTAAATCTTGGCCTTTCTTAGGGTGGCTCTGCTGCACAGGTATCCCAAGTCCTTCTGACCACAGTCTGAAGCTGCCTGCAGCTCTGCGCCTCTCTGTTGCCCTGTCTGGAACCAGGCAGAGGCTCAGTTTTGCTTTGCTTGGGATTTCCTTGCTTCAGCACTATTGAAATTTTTGGCCAGAGCCGTCTTTGTTGCAGCAAGGGTGTGTGGGCTCTGGGCATTTAGCAGCATCCCTGGCCCCTCCCACTAGATGCCAATCCATCACCACCCATGGACGTGGTCATCACTGATGTCTCCAGACTCTGCCAAGTGTCCCCCACAGGGCAAACCCAGCCACAGCTAAGAAGTCATGGTTTAGCTAATTTTTAAGACATTTGTTAAGCAAAAGCCCTTGGTTCTCTCCCCCATCTTCTGCTGTGAAGCTTTAAAGTGTTACTATTGATAATAAAAAATAAGCCTCTGCGTTAGAAAATATACATGTATAATGTGCTTGCCAGTTGGCAAATGGCACAACCAGCCCTTACCCGGCTCCTTATAAGGATCTTGGAAGAAGTGGGGACATCATTACCCACTTTTGCACCAAAAGGAATGAGATTCCAGGAGGCTGAGTGGCCCTGGGCCCACGCAGTGAGAGCTGGAACAGTGAGAGCCCTTCTGCCTCTGAGTCTGCTTGGTGGACAGGCCGGTGATGCCCGCAGAAGGGCAGGCACATAGCGTCGTGCCCAGTTCTCACGCCTGAGCACGGTGGGGTCCTCCAAGTGGGACTGGGCCAGAGAGGAGTGGCAGACAGTCCCCGCTAGCGAGACTGCCCGTGTGCCCATTGAGCCCCACCTGTGCATTGCACGTGAGTGACCCTTCCTGCTGTTTGCCTGGTATGTGAGAGACCAGCAGAATCACCTTTGCAGAGAAGCCCAGGGCCAGAAGACACTCAAATCCTCTGTCCCCCTGAGTCTTCAGTTTCATGGTCCCCTTTCTGAAGAAAATGCATGGGAGGGTCACACGTCAGAAGCTTCTTTCAGATTTGTCAGGAACCATTTGGAGGTTCCGTCCACTTACATTAAAGTGATTATATTTAGTCATCGCCATGGGTCAATTTGTAAAATAATAATGAGCACTTGTCTTCTTTTCTTTCCCCTTTCGTTCCCTCCCAGGGCTCTCCAAACATATATGACCATGAAGTCACCATAGAAGCAGATACTTTTTTACCAGTGGATGAAACTCTGATTCCTACAGGTAGGTGAAGTTAAACTTTTTATGCAGTGTGGGGTTGGATTCCAAGCCTAAAAAATTACATTAGTGGGATAACTGCTGAAACCTTACTAAAGGCTATCGCTGTGTTAATAGAATTAGACTGCCATTAATTTCCTGGTTTTGATATTTGTACTGGGTTTATGTAAGACATTAACATTAGGAAAAGCTGGGCAAAGGGAATACAGAGATGTACTTTTTTATTTTTTATGTTTTTGACACAAGGTCTCACTATGCAGTTCAGGTTGGGCTTCAACTTACTTTGTAGCTCAGGCTGGCCTTGAACTCAAAACAGTCCTCCTGCCTCAGCCTCCCAAGTGCTGGAATTCCAGGTTTGTGCCACCACACCCAGCCCAGAGATGTACTATGTTTGCCATATTTCTGTAAATGTAAAAGTATTCATTTCAAAGTTAAAATCTGAGTAAGATACTATTTCAGGTTTACCAGATACCTTATCCTACAGGAGGGCTTTTGCTTTAGTTGTATTTAACACAATGGGGTTGTATTTATGGCTGCTAGCTTACATTTTTTTTTTTTTTTTTGTCTTTTTCGTTTTTATCGGTACCAGGGAACGAACTCACGACCGCACACTTGCAAGGCAGGTGCTTATGCCGTCGAGCAAAATCCCCAGCCCCTTAGTTACATTTTTTAAAAAGAAAATGATAAGCATATGAGACTGCATAGTAAATAGCAACTTCAGTTAACAGCAGGAATTAGAAACATCCATAAACATAGTGGCTATATAACCTACAGGAATAATGAGAAATTGAGATAAATAAGCTAAAAGTTTTTGGCCCCACAATTTTGAATATTTCCCTGGCTGTAAGGCTGGATTTAAGGCTTTTACGTTTGTCTGGGAAATATGTGTCATCTCCTGGTATTTAAATGTCTCAGTAGATGAGCGCGAGTAGACTGGCCTCATCTTGTACTAGACACAGAATTGTTCCATCAGAACTAGATGGTGTGAGGTGTAAAAAAACAGTGCTGACTGCTGTTTTGTGACTGATAAAGAAGTGAATTAAATAGCTTATCAATGCAGGTTGTGAAATAACTGCATTTTTATTGTGTATGTTAATAAGTTCTTTTCATGCTATCCTGTTGAGTTTTGATTAGATGAAAATCATAAAAAGGCATAATCCATACCATGTAAACAACATTTCTCATGATCATAAGAAATCAATGTGCAAAACATAGTTGACCCTAACTGACAGTCTAATGAACTGCACTGAGCTCCCTCTCATCTCAGTTCTGCACCTTAAATGGCTACTGGGTAAAATTCTATACCTCTGAAGTCTACCCCCTGCTAGAAAGAAATCCTACTTCCAGTGATAGTGTGACTGTTAACTAGCCAGGGTGCCTTTCATATTTGTATAATGCTTTAACATTTAACCCATGGGCTCCCGTCTCCTTTTCTGCAGTTAAGGAGCATTGAACTCAATTAGACTTTAAAAATCTGATTTTCAGGCTGGGGATTTAGCTCAGTGCCTCAAGTGCTTGCCTGGTAAGTGCAAGATCCTGAGTTCTATCCCTGGTACCAAAAACAAAACAAAACAAAACAAAAAAAATCAGATTTTCTTGCCAGGTGTGGTAGTGCAACCACTGTGATCCCAGCACTCAAGAGCCTGAGGCAGGAGGATCATTGAGAATCTGAGGCCAGCCTGAGTTACATAGCAAGTTTAAGGCCAGCCTGAACTACATAGCAAGCTGTCTCCAAAAAAAAGGAGAAAGAAAGAAAAATTTAAAATCTAGTGTTCTTTATCAAAAAATTAAGAGCCTTATCTGGGATATCCACATTTTTGTTTTTCAAAGTTAGAACAGCTATCCTGTAAATGCATGGCTATCAAAACTAATAGGAATATGTGTTGTATACTCATCCCCTGATTTCCATAGGGGCCACCCCCCAACATGCACACAGATACTAGAATCTGCAGCTGCTCAGGTCTCTTATGTAAAATGGCATAATTGCTGGACACAGTGGCTTGTGATCTCGGATACTTGGGAGCTCGAAGCAAGAGAATTGTCAGTTCAAAGCCAACCTGGGAAATGTAGTGAGATTGTGTCTCAAAATAAAAATTTAAAAGGGCTGGGGATATAGCTAAATGATAGAGGACCCCTAGGTTCAATCCTCAAACCATATATACACACACACACACACACACACACACACACGAAAAGGGGGTGCTTGCACATAACCAACCCACAGCCTCTTATTCTTTAAATCATGTCTAGATTACTTATAATTTCTATGACATATAAATGTTATAGAGAAAGTTGTCACATTGTATTATTTAGGGATAATAAGAAGAAAAAGTCTACATGTCCAGACAGACCCAACTGCTTCTACCAGTAATTTAGCTCTATGGTTTGTTAAACCTATGGAAGTAGAATCCAAAGATAAAAGGGACACTTGTATTTCAGTTTTAAAAAATTCTTTAAAAATGCATTAGGGGCTGGGTGTGATGGCACACTCCTGTAATCCCAGCAATTGGGAGGCTGAGGCAGGCAAGTCATTGCAAGTTCAAGACCAGCCTGAACTGCATAGCGAGACCCTGACTCAAAAAGACAAAAAAAGGGGGGCCAGGGATTTAGCTCAGTGGAGTAAGCGCCTGCCTGGCAAGCATGAGGTCATGAGTTCGAACAATCTGTAGCCCCCCCAAAAAACCCAAACCAATTATGATTATCTATAATGCGGAACAGAGATAAGTAGAATACATTTATTAAAACAAAGCAAAAAAAATACCAAACTACCATTTATAATCACTGTATTTTCATAAAAGACTTGTGTATATGTGCATGCGCACGTACGTGTGTGTGTGTGTGTGTGTGTGTGTGTGTGTGTGTGTGTGTGTGTTTTGGTTGCTGAGGATCAAACCCAGGGCCTTGCTCATGCTAGGTAAGTGCTTTATCACTGGGCTATATATAGGCCCAATCCAAGAAAGAATACTTTCATACCACGAAAGTGGAAAAAAGTTAATCTCAGCACAGAAAACAATCCTTTATTGTTAACTTCATTTAATTTTTTAAAGAGTTATGATATTAGATTGCCAGATGCATCTCAGTTTTCTGTTAACAGTGAAAATTATATCTTGAAGTCACAGAAATCAGTCTACAAGGCAACTTCTGGTTCTTGTGTTCTGTGATTCTGTGAGGCTCTGAGACTTAACATTTTCCTGCTAGTTCTGCTACCCTGCCAATTCAGTGGAAGAGAGTAACTTACAGTAACTTCACAGCTCATGAAAGACTCATAACTTGCTTCTACCTTTCCATAGTTCACCTGTTTACCCTGTTACACTTAAACAGAAATTATATGAGTCCTTTGGAACAGTGACATGAAAGTTCATGGATCTGGCCCTCTTTCCATCAAGAATGGATCTCTAGGAGCCCTATTTCATTTGGCTCTTTTTGATCAAAAGCTCATAAACCAGTGGCTTAATTCCAAAGCCAGTCCAAAGGGGCCGCCCATCATTTAGTCATTCAGGAACCTGTCCTGTGTTGCTGGGCTCTCCAGGAGTTGGCCGACCAGCAGAAGAGCCATCCAGAGCCCTGTTCCCGGTTATAAGCTATCTGATCTGGATTGATCTGTCTAAGTAGCAGACTGGCACAGCGGGAAGTACGATCGGGGAGCTCTCAGATGGAGGAAATAAGAGTTAAATACTACCTAGAAGGCCAAGTGGAAGTTTGTTAGACTGCAAGGGGGAGAAAGTCCTTTAAATAAAGGAAATCAGGCCTGGGCAGAATCAGAAAGAGCAAAAGTAGCCTTAAGAAGTGTTCCTGAAGCATCTGGCCACCAACCCCCCTGGCATGCCGTGCCCCCTGAAGAGGGTGGCTGGCCCGGGTCTGGTCTGTACTGAGCCCTAAGTAACTACAGTCCCAGGGTTGGTTCAGGGTGATCCCAGGAAAGCCCAAGGCCAGCCCACACAGGGCAGTGTGTCTGAGTGAGGCCCGTCTCAAACTTCCTGTGCGTTCAGCCAGAGGTGGGCTAACCCCAGGGCCACTTCCAAGGTTTGCTGGAAGTAACCCTTAGGCCAGCTGCACTCCATTAAGACTTGTGGGAATCTATGTACAGCATCTAGAAATGGTGGTTTCTCTGAACTGAGAAAAAAAGGAGATACTAATGGCTTGTGAAGTGAGTGAAGCTTTATGATATTAGTTAGTATTTAGAGAAGACTTCATGGATAATCCATGCTGTAACCCCGTAAGATAGATTCATTAATTTTTCTTTCTCTTTTTAAAATCAGATTGTATTGGTACATTTTAGGTATACATACTGTTCACATTCATTGTAGAGAATTTGTACCTGTGCATGATGTTACTTGATTCTTATTTTTCCCCTTCCCCTCCTTCTCTTCAACGCCTCCCTCCTTCCCCATTTATAAAAATTTTATTTCCGTTTTTTCCTTCTTTCCTCACTTCTGTTAATTTTTCTTATGAAACACGAGTGAAAGAAGGAGAACAAAGAGTTTAAGTAACTTAGCGAGGATGTTAGAGTTTGGATATGGTTTGACGGTGTCCCCCGAAGGTTCATGTACGCGAAGCCGGGTCCTCAGGTGTCAGGACTCAGCAGATGGCGAGGTCAGGGTACCATCGTTGGGTGGGGTTAACCCTGGTGTCTCTGAATGAGTTTTCATGAAGCCAGTTATAGAGAAAGACCGCCTCCTGTGTGTGGCTTCTTCCTCCTGAGGTCTTTCCCTTCCTGCTCCTCCACCATGTTATATTGTAACCAAGGAGGCTCTCATTAGAGACTAAACAGGTGAGGCCAGGCAATCTTGGACTTTTGCCTCGGTTATTTTGTTACAGCAACAGAAAAAGGCTTAATACAGAGCATTCAGTTAACATGGGGTGGAGAGCTAGAATTCTCACCGAGGGTCTGCTATCAGAACCAGGCTCTTGGGCTGGGAGTTTAGCACAGGCTGGCCTTGAACTCACGATGTGCAGCCTCAAATTAATGGTGAGCCTCTTGCCTCTCCTCCTGAGTGCTGGGATTA